TGAAAGATGCAGGGGTAGACTAGGTTCAGCATGGCTAGATCCAGGGATTTAGAATTCTCGGGATTCTTTTTGCTTCTGTCCATCTTCCACCTCTGCCTGGTCAGCTTGTCTTTGTACGTTGGTCTCACTTTCTCCTGCAGAGGGGCCCTCCGTGCTGCCAGGAAAGATGCTCACAAGCAGCTACACAGTCTTTCCAGCTCAGGAGCTGAGAAAAAGAGAGACTCTCTGCCTCCAACATCCATGGGAGAAATCTCATAAAAGAGTCTGATCTCTTCTTGGTCATGTAGCCACCCCTGGACCACGCACTATAGGTAGCCAGGGGATGAACGCACTGGTCTGCATCCCAGGCCAACCCTCGCAGTGAGGGCGGGGTGGGGTGAGGCCCTGGGATGAGCTGTTCACCCAGAAACCCATGTAATGACGGACAGAAAGTTCCCCAAAGCAAGAGAAGCTGGGCAGACCCACAGTCTGCATCTGTGACAGATGGTCAAATTCGGGATCATCTAATGACCTAGAACTTCTCTGCCTCTAAAATCTTAACCTCCTATCATCCCAGACCTCTTTTCTTCCTCCCAAATAGCTCTTCTTTGAGATTCCTTGGCCTCATATGATGTCCCTCCTGGCCTTGCCCATCCCCACTCCATCGGCAGTCCATGTGGATATTATTGTTCATTTTTTCAATCATCCCCTTCCTAACCCTTAAACTCCCCTTTCCCTTGCCCGTCTAGCCTCAAATTTGAATTAATCCCAACTACCAATGTTTCTGCTGCTTTTCCTGCGCACTGAATGAGACTGGAGGAAATCACAAAATCATAGCTAAGTTTCATACTAAATTCATGGCCTTTGATCTCATCGGAGCCCTCTGTACTAAATGGTAGTCATTCACCGTTTTCCCAGTGAGATTTCACTGCCATTTTCCAAAGTGATTATTGCAAATATTCTTCTCTGCCTCGAGGTTCTTCCCGTGTCTCTTTCCTCTTCATTGTCAGCCGATAATCTCATCTCCTATTTCACTCAGAAAATAGAAGCCATTACAGGAAATACCTTTCATATCAGACCCTAATACAGCCTGCTATGTGTCCACACCCAACCTTGCTCTCTTCCTTCTTCCTGTCTCAGGTCACTGCCTCTACCTGCTTCTCCCCGGCCACTTGCATCCTCAGCTACTTAGTTTCACGGGTTGTTTTCCACTCTCCCAACTGTTTTCAACCTCACCCACGTTAATGGCTTATTTAAATGTGCTGATTGAAACCTATGTAATTTTATTAACCAAGGCCACCCCAATAAATTAAATAAAAAATGTAAAATATATTTAAATCTCACTCACTTAAAAAAGAAATCACTCCCTCTACCCCACAAGTTCTGCTTAGAGCTTCATTTCCCTCTTTATCCTCACAGCAGAATCATGTGGAAGTGTGGTTTATATTTCTGCCTTTCTGGCCTTACCTCCCATTCCTTTATTTTATTTTATTATTATTATTATTATTATAATCTTTACCCAAGGATATTTTCCCATTGATTTTTAGAGAGAGTGGAAGAGAGAGGGAAAGACAGAGAGAAATATCGCTGTGAGAGAAACACATCAATTGGTTTCCTCCTGAATGAGCCCAGAACAGGTCCTGAGCCGGGGGGAAGGGGGGAGGGTTTGTTTTATTGTTTAAAGTATTACAAATATCTCCTTTCTCACCCCCCCCCCTCCCCGACCTTCCCCTGGCCTCCCCTAACCTCCCATTCCTTTAATCACTCGTTACAACCTGGCTTCCGTCTGTCTCCACTCACTCAGCTCTCCCACTGTCGTTAGCAAATCCCCGTTACTTTCTAAGTGCTTATATGACTTATCTTTCTGTAATATTTGATACCATCGACCATTTCCTTCTTGAAGCATCTCTTCCCTTAGCTTCAATGATGCTTTATTCTTGTCTCTCTGGGTGTTTGAATTAGATTATTTTAAGGTTGCAGGAAACAAAACAAAACAAGAGAAAGAGATTGATGTAAGGATAAGTGTGGGTATAAGTATGGGTGGGAATCGTGACCTCCCAGAACTCAGTGAAGAAGGGTCCTCCATCCTGAGCACTGGAGTGCCCACTGCACGGTGCGGTGTGGCTCTCGGCTGGTTCCCTTCCCCTTCCCACAGATGCACGTTTCTTTTGATGTCATGACGACTCATCCTCTCCCTGCCTTTGCTTCTGTGTCTCAGCTGAGCCATCATCACCTCTCCTCTTCCTTTCTACGTTTAGTTAGCTTCTCCTTCTACTCACTCGGGGCTGCCCCGGTCTGTGTGTTCTCCACTCCTGCCTGGCTTTCCTGTGTGCCTTTCCATTTCTGCTCCCACCAGGCTGCTTCTCTCTGCTTCTCCTCCAGAGGGGAACCTGGTCAGTGAGGCAGCCACTCTTCAGGGTGAGGTGTGCCTGCTTGCAGGCCAGTGACAAGCCGGCAGATGGGTTTCCCTTAAGTCAGGCACCCATTTGCCGTGGAGTCGACTGGGGTCACAGAAGTGGGGTCTCATGTCTGTCTTCTGGGTGTCAGTGTCCCACAGGGGTCTGTGCTGGGTCCCCTTTTTTCGCACACTGTACACACTCCAGTGCATTAGCCTTGTGACCTCGCACCCAAGAATGTGTTACTCATCTCCCATTGTCTGTTTCCTCATCTGTGAAACAGATACCTGTTATGGGTTGAGTTATGTCCCCCCAAAAGATGTGGAAGTCTCAACTCTGAGTACCTGTGTATGTGACCTCATTTGGAAACAGGGCCTTTGCTGATGATCAAGTTATGATAAAGTCACCAGGGTGGGCCCTGTCCAATAGGACTGGTGTCCTTATAAATAGAGGAAATTTGGACACAGACACACACACAGGGAGAACGCCACATGCAAATGAAGGCAGAGATGGGGTGATGCAGCTCTCAGCCGAGGGCTGCCAAAGATT